GCCAAAGATTGAGAAAAGATGTACAGGTTCGTAAGTGCTTGCGTAAGTTCTTTCGTGAATCTGACCCCTCGCAATTATCATTTTGGAATATGCGTACGCGTGAAAAAATACACTCGCGTGCAAGCTGAGAAATATATAACTGCATTCCAGGTCACGCAAGCACATAATTTCTAACACGGAAGGCACATCAGTGGCAGTGTGAAGAATTCAAAAGTTAAGCTTTTAAGGACTGTGCTAGTTGGACACAAGTCCATGGGGTGCTGTATTGTTTATCAGGTCCATAGGGCGCTGTGATGTTTAGTCAGGTCTACGGGGCGCTGTGTTGTTTAGTCAGGTCTATGGGGCACTGTGTCATTTAGTCAGGTCTATGGGGCAATGTGTCATTTAGTCAGGTCTACGGGGCGCTGTGTTGTTTAGTAAGGTTCTTGGAGCGCTACATGATGTTTGGAGTCAGGTCCACGGAACGCTGCACGATGTTTGGAGTCAAGTATATGGGGCGCTGTATGATGTTTGGAGTCAGGTCTATGGGCGCTGCACGGTGTTTGAAGTCAGGTATATGGGGGCGCTGCACGAAGTTTGGAGTCAGGTCTATGGAACGCTGCATGATGTTTTGAGTCAGGTCTATGTGATGCTATATTGTTTGGAGTCAGGTCGGTGAGGCGTTTGTATTTTGTTTGGAGTCAGATCTGCACGGCGATGGATTGTTTGGAGTCAGGTCTGCGGGCACTGTGTTGTTTGGAGTCATGTCTATGGAGCTCTGTAATTTGTTTGGAGTCAGGTCTACGTGACACTGTATTGTTTGGAATCAGGTCGATGGGGCGCTGTGTTGTTTGGAATTAGGTTTATGAGGCGTAGTGTTGTGTGGAGTCAGATTCAGATTCAGATTCAGATGTTTATTCAGGTAAGGTATATACATACAGGTGATGTTACATTAATGGATTGATATATAGATAGAGCTAGTACATACAATGCCTAAAGCCACTATTACGCAATGCGTTTCGGGCAAGAAAAACATTAATATCTAGAACTTAATACTAATTGAGCATAAAGAATAAAAGATGTTGAGAACAAATACAAATAAAGATAAAAAAAAGGGGGAACATGACTGAAAAAGCAGCACAAATACAATAGGTTGACAAACAGTGTTGATTACAAAAAAGAAAAAAAAAAAAAAAAAAAGAAAATAACAGACATGGGTTGACAATAGAGGAGTGAGGTAGATTACAGGGAATTTATTAGGTAGTGTTTAGTTTTTATCTTAAACTGGTTGAGAGAGGTACAGTCTTTAACATGGTTGGGAAGGTCATTCCACATTCTGGGCCCCTTGATTTGCAGAGCATTTCTAGTTTGATTAAGACGTACTCTAGGAATATCAAAACTGTATTTATTTCTGGTGTGGTGCTCATGGGTTCTGTTACAACCTTCTATGAAGCTTTTAAGATCAGGATTGGCATTATAGTTTAGCGTTTTATATATGTATAATACACATGAGAGAATGTGCAGTGACTTAATATCTAACATATTAAGAGATTTGAGTAGGGGTACCGAGTGATGTCTGGGGCCAGAGTTGGATATTGTTCTAATAGCGGCTTTGTGTTGGGTAATTAGAGGACGTAAGTGATTTTGGGTAGTAGAACCCCAAGCACAAATACCATAGTTGAGATAAGGATAGATAAGGGAGTAATAGAGAGTCACCAGAGCAGGGCGTGGTACAGTCAGGTCCACGAAGCATAGTGTAGTTTGGAGTTAGCTCCGTGGGGTACTGTGTTGTATGGAGTCAGGCCTACGGAGTGCTGTGTTGTTCGGAGTCAGGTCTGTGGATACTGTGTTGTATGGAGTCAGGTCTACGGGGTGCTGTGTTGTTTGGATTCAGGTCTGTGGGATACTGTGTTGTTTGGAGTCATGTCTATGGGGTGATGTGTTGTTTGGAGTCAGGTCTATGGAACACTGTGTTGTTTGGAGTCAGGTCTATGGGGTCTGTATTGTTTGGAGTCAGGTCTATGGAACACTGTGTTGTTTGGCATCAGGTCTACGGGGTGCTGTGTTGTTTGGAGTCAGGTCTACAGAGTCTGTGTTGTTTGGAGTCAGGTATACGGGGTGCTGTGTTGTTTGGAGCCAGGTCTATAGGGTGCTGTGTTGTTTGGAGTCAGGTCTATGGGGTGATATATTGTTTGGAGTCAGGTCTATGGAACATTGTGTTGTTTGGAGTCCAGTCTACGGGGTGCTGTGTTGTTTGGAGTCAGGTCTATGGGGTGTTGTGTAGTTTGGAGTCAGGTCTATGGGGTGTTGTGTAGTTTGGAGTCAGGTCTATGGGGTGTTGTGTAGTTTGGAGTCAGGTCTATGGGGTGCTGTATTGTTTGAAGTCAGGTCTACGGGGTGCTGTGTTGTTTGGAGTCAGGTCTATGGGGTGCTGTGTTGTTTAGAGTCAGGTCTATGATGCATAGCATTGTTTGGAGTCAGGTCCATGAGGCGTCGTGTTGTTTAGAGTCAGGTATATGAGGCGTAGTGTTGTTTGGAGTCAGGTCTATGGGGTGCTGTGTAGTTTGGAGTCAGGTCTACGGGGTGCTGTATTGTTTGGAGTCAGGTCTACTGGGTGCTGTGTTGTTTGGAGTCAGGTCTACGGAGTCTGTGTTGTTTGGATTCAGGTCTACGGGGTGCTGTGTTGTTTGGAGCCAGGTCTACGGGGTGCTGTGTTGTTTGGAGTCAGGTCTATGGGGTGATATATTGTTTGGAGTCAGGTCTATGGAACATTGTGTTGTTTGGAGTCCAGTCTACGGGGTGCTGTGTTGTTTGGAGTCAGATCTATGGGGTGTTGTGTAGTTTGGAGTCAGGTCTATGGGGTGTTGTGTAGTTTGGAGTCAGGTCTATGGGGTGTTGTGTAGTTTGGAGTCAGGTCTATGGGGTGCTGTATTGTTTGAAGTCAGGTCTACGGGGTGCTGTGTTGTTTGGAGTCAGGTCTATGGGGTGCTGTGTTGTTTAGAGTCAGGTCTATGATGCATAGTATTGTTTGGAGTCAGGTCTATGAGGCGTCGTGTTGTTTAGAGTCAGGTATATGAGGCGTAGTGTTGTTTGGAGTCAGGTCTATGGGGTGCTGTGTAGTTTGGAGTCAGGTCTACGGGGTGCTGTATTGTTTGGAGTCAGGTCTACTGGGTGCTGTGTTGTTTGGAGTCAGGTCTACGGAGTCTGTGTTGTTTGGATTCAGGTCTACGGGGTGCTGTGTTGTTTGGAGCCAGGTCTACGGGGTGCTGTGTTGTTTGGAGTCAGGTCTATGGGGTGATATATTGTTTGGAGTCAGGTCTATGGAACATTGTGTTGTTTGGAGTCCAGTCTACGGGGTGCTGTGTTGTTTGGAGTCAGATCTATGGGGTGTTGTGTAGTTTGGAGTCAGGTCTATGGGGTGTTGTGTAGTTTGGAGTCAGGTCTATGGGGTGTTGTGTAGTTTGGAGTCAGGTCTATGGGGTGCTGTATTGTTTGAAGTCAGGTCTACGGGGTGCTGTGTTGTTTGGAGTCAGGTCTATGGGGTGCTGTGTAGTTTGGAGTCAGGTCTACGGGGTGCTGTATTGTTTGGAGTCAGGTCTACGGGGTGCTGTGTTGTTTGGAGCCAGGTCTACGTGGCGCTGTGTTGTTTGGAGTCAGGTCTACGTGGCGCTGTGTTGTTTGGAGTCAGGTCTACATAGCGCTGTGTTGTTTGGAGTCAGGTCTACGTGGTGCTGTGCTGTTTGGAGTCAGGTCTAGGTGGCACTGTGTTGTTTGGAGTCAGGTCTACGGGGTGCTGTGTTGTTTGGAGTCAGGTCTACGGGTGCTGTGTAGTTTGGAGTCAGGTCTACGGGGTGCTGTGTTGTTTGGAGTCAGGTCTATTGGGCGCTGTGTTGTCTGCATATAAGCCCATTTGTCGACTTGCTATTTGGACTCGAGCGCTGCCCTTAAGGAATTATGTTCTTTGAATACAAGATCATGAGGCGGTATTGTGATCCTTGGACAACGGCGTGTGGCAGGGCTCGGCTACCCGGATTTACGCTTGTGTGACATTATGCTGTAACTATATATAACTATATGGCGTTATGCTGTCAGACCTATATATATATATATATATATATATATATATATATATATATATATATATATATATATATATATATATATATATATATATATATATATATATATATATATGTGTATATATATATATATATATATATATATATATATATATATATATATATATATATATATATATATATATATAAATAACCATACCTGAGGTTAGATGTGTCCTAACACACTTGTGGTTAGATATGTCCTAATTCACCTGTGGTTAGATATGTCCTAATTCACCTGTGGTTAGATATGTCCTAACACACTTTTGGTTAGATTTGTATTAATACACCTGTGGTTAGATCCGTCCTAACATACCTAGTGATTAGATATGTATTAACACATTTGGAGCATACCTGGAGAGGGTTCTGGAAGTTCTTCTACTCCCCGAGCCCGGCTTGAGGCCAGGCTCGACTTGTGATAACTTGGTCCAACAGGCTGTTGCCTGGAGCGGCCTGCAGGCTCACATGTCCACAACAGCCCGGTTGGTCCAGCACTTTTGCAAAAACCTACCTCAGTGCTTCTTGAATGCATCCACGTTTGTTCCGGTAGTATTTCTAATGCTTGCTGGAAGGGTGTTAATCATGCAGATGTGGACCTCTGATGTTCAGACAGTGCTCTCTGATTGTGCCCATGGCACCTCTACTCTTCACTGGTTCTATTCTGTATTTCCTTCCATATCTTTCGTTCCAGTATGCTGTTATTTCACTGTGCAAGTTTGGGACCTGGCTCTTTCTCCGTATTACACCGAGTGCTCGTGCTACTGGTGTAATACATGCCTAAAACGCTATGCGTGTTATTGGCTTTACAAGAAAGTAAAATCATCAATGCTATGTACTCTCATAAACCCAATGTACCTTCTTGTATATATATAAATAGTAGGCATCCATCAGTCTCTGGAGACTATGAAGTTGCGCTCTGGTTGTCGGTTTGGAGTGGCCTCCCCAGGACGCAAAGCCATGGTAGGTTGATTTGAAGGAGAAGCTATTACCCATGCAAAAGGTCCTCCCCCTCTCCACGGCACAGAAAGTCTCCAATGGAAAGGCAAACTCCAATACGATTGGTTCCAGCGCCGTCGCAGGAACTGAGAGCTCCGGAGTTGAGCTCGAAATTGATGAAAAAAGGCTCAGGGCCTCCAAACCCGGAGACCGTCGTGGTCGTGGGCAGAGAAGAACCACCCCATCAAGGATATGAACGACCCCAGCCTCATGAAGCAGAGCCTGGGGGGCCGCACAAGCCCCGGGAGGTGGACGTCCCGGTCCCGCACCTACGGATCCCAGACAGAGATCGTCACAGCCCTCTTTCACCCGAGGCCGGCTTTATTTAACGGCCTACTACCGTTAAATAGGTAGTAGGGCGTTATTTAATATAGTAGGCTTTATTTAATATAGTAGGCGTTATTTAATATAGTAGGCTTTATTTAACGTCCTACTACCGTTAAATAAATAATAAATAGGTACATTTCTTTACGAATATTGAATTCCACGAACTGGGCTGTTGTCAATTTTTCTTACAAAGTTTTCCGAGTTCGTATTAATATTAGTTACATATCTGCAGCTTGGATGTCATTCACAAAGAAGCTGTCTGGATCTTCAACTTTCATGTTGTTTATTGGGGTGCTAAACATAGCCTCATACTGGCCTTTTAGAATTTCACTAATTTCTTTGTTGTCCTCTGTGTATGTACCTTCGGTTGTAAGTAAAGGTCTAACACAGGTAGAAGGTTTCTATTTGTATTTTGTATATGTGAAAACATATTATGGATTTTTCATTATCTCTTGTACAGTATAGCTTTCTGTTCCAATTCTATTTAGTCTAGTTCTATTGAATCTGTTTCCTCAGACTCGTGTGATCGCTTCAACCTCTGCTCTATTTCTTCGATCTCCCTATTTAGATTTATTTTCCTTTCTTGTGATAATCGCGTCTGTTTAATTAAGCATTTCCGTGATTTTTTGTCCTTCTGTACAGTTGTCTGCGTCCTCTTTCTGACCCTCCTCACAGGCACATGCTTTAAGCAGATCTTCTTGAGATGATTTGAGATGATGATCTTGTATGCCTCAGCTGTCAGTTGAGCTATCCCATGTATTCACCCAGTTGTATTCACCTAGTTGTGCTTACGGGGGTTGAGTTCTGCTCTTTCGGCCCGCCTCTCAACTGTCAGTCAATGAACTGTTACTAACTACTACTATTTTTTTTCACACACACACCCAGGAAGCAGCCCTAACAGCTGTCTAATTCTCAGGTACCTGTTTACTGCTGGGTAACAGGGCCATCAGGGTGAAAGAAACTCTGCCTCAGACCTCAGGCCCGGTCCTCGACCAGGCCTCCTTTTTGTTACATATCCACAGGAAGCATCCCAAACTATTGGGCTGGCAGCTGTATAACTCCCAGGTACCTATTTACTGCTAGGAAGACAAGGGCATCAATGTGAAAGAAACTCTGTCCATTAGTTTCCGCCTTCACCGGGGATCGAACCTGGAACCTCAGGGCTACGGATCCCGAGCGTTGTCCAATCAGCTGTATTTTAGCTATATATCTAACTAATTAGTTAGGGATCATATCTAACCTATAGTTAGATGTGTCCTAACACACTTGTGGTTAGATATGTATTAACACACCAGTGGTTAGATATGTCCTAATACACATGTGGTTAGATGTGCATTAACACACCTGTGACTAGATATGTCCTAATGCACTTGTGGTTAGATATGAATTAACACACTTATGGTTAGACATGTATTAACATATCTGTGGTTAGATATTTCCTAATACACCTGTGGTTAGATATTTCCTAATACACCTGTGGTTAGATATGTCCTAACACACAGATATTAAACACCTGTAATCAGGTAACACACTTGTGATAGGTGTGATAGTAAAGTATTAAAAAGCCATAATCTGTTGTAAATTTTCCATTGAGTGTATTGGATAGTCAAGCAACCGGACTGCCAGCCGCCAGTGTCGTGGTGACAGCCGGGCGGGGTAGACGTGCACGCTCAGCTCCTCGACGGGTGTTCCATGCGCCACACAAACGCATCAATATAACAGCGATATACCGGGTCTACCCCACTCGATTGTCGTCGCCCCCCACAACCAAGAACACGAGTGTGTGGTGGTGGTGAGAGCACTCTCCAGCCCCCGGGGGACGCTAGGTGGTGAAGGGAGTGAGAGCAGCAGCAGCAGCAACATGGAGGAGGCCAGTCGGAGGTGTCATGGTGGTCGCCGTCATCCTCGTCAGGCAGCGCCAGTGGCAGTGTGAGACAGCTCTCACCTTTCTCAGGTGAGACTACTCTCACCCTATACTCTGGGCGGGTCAGACCACTCTCACCCTTCACAGGTGAGACTACTCTCACCCTATACTCGGGTCAGACCACTCTCACCCTACACTCTGGTCGGGTCAGACCACTCTCACCCTACACAGGTGAGACCACTCTCACCCTATACTCTGGGCGGGTCAGACCACTCTCACCCTACACTCCGGGCGGGTCAGACCACTCACCCTACACTCTGGTCGGGTCAGACCACTCTCACCCTACACAGGTGAGACTACTCTCACCCTTCACTCTGGTCGGGTCAGACCACTCTCACCCTACACAGGTGAGACCACTCTCGCCCTATACTCTGGGCGGGTCAGACCACTCTCACCTTACACTCTGGTCGGGCCAAACCACTCTCGCCCTACACAGGTGAGACTACTCTCACCCTTCGCTCGGGGGCGGGTCAGACCACTCTCACCCTTCACTCGGGGGCGGGTCAGACCACTCTCACCCTTCACTCGGGGGCGGATCAGACCACTCTCACCCTTCACTCGGGGGCGGATCAGACCACTCTCACCCTTCACTCGGGGGCGGGTCAGACCACTCTCACCCTTCACTCGGGGGCGGGTCAGACCACTCTCACCCTTCACTCGGGGGCGGGTCAGACCACCCTCACCCTTCACTCGGGGGCGGGTCAGACCACCCTCACCCTTCACTCGGGGGCGGGTCAGACCACTCTCACCCTTCACTCGGGGGCGGGTCAGACCACTCTCACCCTTCACTCGGGGGCGGGTCAGACCACCCTCGCCCTTCACTCGGGGGCGGGTCAGACCACCCTCGCCCTTCACTCGGGGGCGGGTCAGACCACCCTCACCCTTCACTCGGGGGCGGGTCAGACCACCCTCACCCTTCACTCGGGGGCGGGTCAGACCACCCTCGCCCTTCACTCGGGGGCGGGTCAGACCACCCTCACCCTTCACTCGGGGGCGGGTCAGACCACCCTCACCCTTCACTCGGGGGCGGGTCAGACCACCCTCACCCTTCACTCGGGGGCGGGTCAGACCACCCTCACCCTTCACTCGGGGGCGGGTCAGACCACCCTCGCCCTTCACTCGGGGGCGGGTCAGACCACCCTCGCCCTTCACTCGGGGGCGGGTCAGACCACCCTCGCCCTTCACTCGGGGGCGGGTCAGACCACCCTCGCCCTTCACTCGGGGGCGGGTCAGACCACCCCTCACCCTTCACTCGGGGGCGGGTCAGACCACCCTCGCCCTTCACTCGGGGGCGGGTCAGACCACCCTCGCCCTTCACTCGGGGGCGGGTCAGACCACCCTCGCCCTTCACTCGGGGTCGGGTCAGACCACTCTCACCCTTCACTCGGGGTCGGGTCAGACCACTCTCACCCTACACTCGGGTCGGGTCAGACCACTCTCACCCTACACTGATACTTATATTTTTACTCATACACTAATGTAATTAATAATTACATTCAGATCTGTAACTTTATTCCTGTAATCGGCTTTATACTGATGGTTACAACAGGTTGTTTAATGTTGAGAAATGTAGAGGCTTTAGAGAAAGACAACAGTGAGAAATGTAGAGGCTTAAGAGAAAGACAACAATGAGAAATGTAGAGGCTTAAGAGAAAGACAACAATGAGAAATGTAGAGGCTTAAGAGAAAGACAACAGTGATAAATGTAGAAGTTTTAGAGAAAGACAACGGCGAGAAATGTAGAGGCTTTAGAGAAAGACAACAGTGATAAATGTAGAGGTTTTAGAGAAAGACAACAGTGATAAATGTTGAGGCTTTAGAGAAAGATAAGTGAGAAATGTAGAGGCTTTTGAGACACAATAGTGAGAAATGTAGTGGGTTTAGAGAAAGACAATAGTGAGAAATGTAAGATGAATTAGAGAGAGAGAACAGTGAGAAATGTAAGAGACTTTAGAGAAAGAGAGAACAGTGATACATGCAAGATACTTTAGAGAGAGAACAGTGAGAAATGTAAGAGGCTTTAGAGAGAGAACGGTGAGACATGTAAGAGGCTTTAGAGTGAGAGAGAGACAACAGTGAGAAATGTAAGAGGCTTTAGAGTGAGAGAGAGACAACAGTGAGAAATGTAAGAGGCTTTAGAGAGAAAGAACAGTGAGAAATGTAAGAGGCTTTAAAAACAACAGTGAGAAATGTAAGAGGCTTTAGAGAGAGAGAGACAACTGTAAAAAATGTAAGAGGCTTTTGGAGAGAAGTAACAGTGAGAAATGTAAGAGGCTCAAGAGAGAAACATCAGTGAGAAATGTAAGATACTTTTAGAGAAAGAGAGAACAGTGAGACACGCAAGATGCTTTAGAGAGCGAACTGTGAGAAATGTAAGAGGCTTGAGAGAGAGAGATCGGTGAGGAATGTAAGAGGCTTTAGAGAAAGACAACAGTGATAAATGTAGAGGCTTTAGAGAAAGAGAACAGTGATAAATGTAGAGGCTTTAGAGAAAGACAACAGTGATAAATGTAGAGGCTTTAGAGAAAGACAATAGTGATAAATGTAGAGGCTTTAGAGAAAGACAACAATGAGAAATCTAGAGGCTTTAAAGAAAGAAAAGTGAGAAATGTAGAGGCTTTAGAGAAAGACATTATTTGTAAGTGTAGAGGTTTAGAGAAAGACAACAGTGATAAATGTAGTGGCTTTAGAGAAAGACAACAGTGATAAATATAGAGGCTTTAGAGAAAGTTAACAGTAAGAAATGTAGAGGCTTTAGATACCTCAGTGAGAAATGTAGAGGCTTTAGATATAAGTGATAAATGTATAGGCTATAGAGAAAGACAACAGTTAGAAATGTAGAGGCCTTAGAAAAAGACAACAGTGAGAAATGTAATTGACTTTAAACAGAAGCAACAGTGAGAAATGTAAGAGACTTTAGAGAAGTGAGAACAGTGAGGCATGTAAGATGCTTTAGAGAGAGAACAGTGAGGAATGTAAGAGTCTTTAGAAAGAGAGAACTATGAGAAATGTAAGAGGCTTTTGGAGAGAAGCAATAGTGAGAAATGTAAGAGGCTTTAGAAAGAGAGAAACGGTGAGAAATGTAAGAGGCTTTAGTGAGTGGAGTGGAGTGGAATGTAAGAGGCTTTAGAGAGAACAGGGAGAGATGTAAGAGGCTTTAGAGAGAGAGAGAGAGAGAGAGAGAGAGCGGTGAGAAATGTAAGAGGCTTTAGAAAGAGAGAACAGTGAGAAATGTAAGAGGCTTGAGAGAGAGAGAGAGAGAGAGAGAGAGAGAGAGAGAGAGAGAGAGAGAGAGAGAGAGAGAGAGAGAGAGAGCGGTGAGGAATGTAAGAGGCTTTAGAGAGAACAGTGAGAAATGTAAGAGGCTTTAGAGAGAACAGTGAGAAATGTAAGAGGCTTTAGAGAGAGAGAGAGAGAACAGTGAGAAATGTAAGAGGCTTTAGAGAGAACAGTGAGAAATGTAAGAGGCTTTAGAGAGAGAGAACAGTGAGAAATGTAAAAGGCTTTAGAGAGAGAGAGAGAGAGAGAACAGTGAGAAATGTAAGAGGCTTTAGAGAGAGAGAGAGAGAGAGAACAGTGAGAAATGTAAGAGGCTTTAGAGAGAGAGACAACAGTGAGAAATGCAAGAGGCTTTAGAGAGAGAGAGAGACAACAGTGAGAAATGCAAGAGGCTTTAGAGAGAGAGACAACAGTGAGAAATGCAAGAGGCTTTAGAGAGACAACAGTGAGAAATGCAAGAGGCTTTAGAGAGACAACAGTGAGAAATGCAAGAGGCTTTAGAGAGACAACAGTGATAAATGTAAGAGGCTTTAGAGAGAGAGAGAGAACAGTGAGAAATGTAAGAGGCTTTAGAGAGAGAGAACAGTGAGAAATGTAAGAGGCTTTAGAGAGAGAGAGAGACGACAGTGAGAAATGTAAGAGGCTTTAGAGAGAAAGAGAAACAGTGAGAAATGTAAGAGGCTTTAGAGAGAGAGAGAGAGACAACAGTGAGAAATGTAAGAGGCTATAGATATAAAAAAAATCAGAATTATGGAGTAGACAAACATTGGGCACATAAACAGCAGCACTCAAATACTTTTATATTTGATTAATAGAAGTATCAGTGATAGGTGAGGTTGAAAAATATAGGTGAGGGTAGTGGTATCTGTGAGGGTAGTGGTATCGGTGGTAATGCCGGTGACAGCAGTGGTATCAGAGACGTCGACGGTTGTGTGGGGGAATATATCCACTACCGGTGTGTGGGTTAGTTAGTGTAGTTCATTTATTATGCACCCCATACCCATCTTGTGGGCGGTAGTGGAAGGTGTTACAGAGGCACATAATGGGCTCAGGGACTGAACCACATAATTCATTTAGCTAAGCAAGTTACAATCTTGATGAGCTAGTTACAAAATTCAGTACAAGTGTCACATCATCGATGGGTTCGAGATCGACCACAAGTACAGTTTCTAAATTAAAAAACTGACATGTGGAGAGCTAATGTCACAATTGATATGTTCTGCACATCGCCCCCCATGCAGTGGGCAGCGGTGGATAGGTTACAATCACTTAGTTTTTTTTTTTTTTTTTGAGATATATACAAGAGTTGTTACATTCTTGTACAGCCACTAGTACGCGTAGCGTTTCGGGCAAGTCCTTAATCCTATGGTCCCTGGAATACGATCCCCTGCCGCGAAGAATCGTTTTTTCATCCAAGTACACATTTTACTGTTGCGTTAAACAGAGGCTACAGTTAAGGAATTGCGCCCAGTAAATCCTCCCCGGCCAGGATACGAACCCATGACAACGCTCGCGGAACGCCAGGCGAGTGTCTTACCACTACACCACGGAGACTGCTAAACTACCTACTTTGTTACTACCTACAGTTAGCAAACTGGGGATAGTTGGCTAAAATTTCTGGTAGCACATCATTTTGAATGAAATATTTACACATTGCTGAAATATTTACACATTGCTGGAACATTGGTTATAGAATTGTCTCTGAATTCACGTATCTTTTCTCACTCCATCACATAGTGACGGAGGGTGATTGATAATTTTCTAAACAAAACAGTTTATAATTCAAATCTCTAACGAGAAACGAACCTGTTTACACATAAACAAATAGGATTATGCATAATGCATCTTTTAAATTCCATTGTTGCTAATATTGCTTTGAATTTAGTAATTAATATGATAATCAGTGCATAGAAGAGGCGAGGGTTGGGCGACGCCGTCACCTCTCTGCTACACGCCATTAAATGAGCTGCTAGCGTCATCTGAATAGGTGTTGAAAAGTTTCTGTTGAAGGAAATCCGACTAGTTCTTTATGAACTAATGAGTTATACTATTTGCGACTTGTATTCGTAAATATTCAAGCCTGCGTGTGCTAAACATTTATTAATTATTGTGGACTTTCCAGTAGACAGAGAGACAGGGAGAGGGACAGACGGACAGACACAGACAGTTAAGACACTGACCACAACAGGTCGATGCGTTAAGTGATACACACACACACACACACACACACACACACGCACTATCTGTAGCGTTAAGTGCCACCTCACATTCTGTTCTGCAGTAGTTAGACGGATTATACGTGTACATAAGTGGTTGTTAGGTGGTGGTAGAGTGGCTGTGTTGGGAATGCCAACCATAATGTTAGGTGGTGGTAGAGTAGTGGTGTTAGGAATGCCAACCATAATGTTAGGTGGTGGTAGAGTGGCGGTGTTAGGAATGCCAACCATAATGTTAGGTGGTGGTAGAGTGGCGGTGTTAGGAATGCCAACCATAATGTTAGGTGGTGGTAGAGTAGTGGTGTTAGGATTGCCAACCATAATGTTAGGTGGTGGTAGAGTGGCGGTGTTAGGAATGCCAACCATAATGTTAGGTGGTGGTAGAGTAGTGGTGTTAGGATTGCCAACCATAATCATAACGGAAATATCGTCTAGATCTTTAGGCATACCTGGCAAACAAGTGTTAGATGGTTTTTATGTTTACCTCACTTGTGAATATAACGGCTGCGTTGCCGGCATGAATGATTTTAGAGAGAAAAGTTTCACCACTAGAGATCAACGCGTGTTAGAGAGGCCATATTGGCACCTGAACGGGATTGGACCGTGACCAGAATCCTAGCCAGATACGGCTTATGTCCTTTAAATAACCCAGTTATTACTAACACTATATGATCTGAGTAATTGTTAAGTTTATGTCCAGTGGTTGTTGATAATTCAATTTAGGTTCGGTATAGGGACACAATTCTGGTCTGAAGTCGTTTGGCCGTGTTGCCGAGGTCCAAGTTAATGGTTTGTCCCATGTACCACATTTGTTCGTGCAGATCACCAGATCAGACCACCCAAATCACCCGTTTGGCTGGTCACTCGAGTGAAAACTAGAATAACAAGAATCAGAACTTTGGAATTAAGTTTAAATGAAGATTCCTCATGACCCGTTCTCGCAAATTTAATAAGTCA